CAACGCCAACATACAACAACTTGCCTGCACATCCATCTTTTCCAAACCCTACCACCAATTTTTTATTATTTTACCTTCTAAATTGAATACATTACGTTAAAATTTACGGTTAGATAAAGTTTATTTAGGTACGAGCATGCTAATGAGTTGCATTACTTAATTATGATTCATTCTATTTTCGAGTTTATTTATTGAAATAACGACATCGAGCCTTATAGAAAATTGTGTGGGTGATTTTGATGGTCATAAATGATGTTCACTAAGATCATGTGGGATAGTCTCAATCTTTCTTAACAAATGTCGACTTTGACATGTTCCAAGTCGTTATATACTTTGTCAAGTCGTTTAAACTTAATCAATAAAATAAAAAGAATCAGAATGGTCGAATAGATTAGATGAGAAAGAGAATCATATTCTATTCCCGAACGAAGAATCACAATTGGGGATATTCTAACACGAGGTCCTACACAAAATCAACCGCTAGTATTTAAAGTAATCAGATGAAATGGAAAGTTGGTAGCTTTTGATAGACCCATTTATCTAACAACAATGACCATAGACAAACATGAATTAATTCAAACTTTGGAAAATATATATTTTTAATTACCCAATTAATTTATAATCCCCACCTTAATTATTATTATTATTATTGATTTTAGAAAAAACAAAGGGTTATTTAATTTAAATTAAGTCAATAATTGAGAAAACTCAATCCTTTTTGTCAGAAATTAGATCCTTATCTGTGAATCTTGCTTTGAAATTTTGTTCTCACCCACCCCAAGATATTGTTAACTATTCATTTTTTATTTCCATAGTCTTCTCTCCCTAATATTCTTTTTTATTTATTATTTAAATAACATCAAATTAAAACTATATAATAAAAATTAATATCTTTCCAAACTATATTAAAGAATCCAATGTTGAATGTAAATAATGTGTATTTTTACATTACCCAATTTAGAACCCATTTATTTATGTCACATAAATTATTATTTTCCTAACAGAAGTGCCATTTATTGGGCGTTATAATAAATTTAATTACATTATTAATAAACAAGGGCCCACTTTCCAATTTGTCAAAAAAAGGGGGGTATTTTAGCAAAATGGAAACTTTGTGCCAGGTATGCAACAGGGTGTGCTCTGGATTTATTACTTTTTTATTTAATCATTTAAACAGTTTTTTTTTTCACGATGCTTACGAAGAATCCCTAATTTTGAATATTATTTTTGTTGAAAAAAATTAATATTTTATTTATTAAATTCAGAGATTAAAATAGACGAAGGAAAATCAGAGAGTTGAAATTCAAAATTGAACATCATTCTGAAAACGGCCAGAAAGAAAAGGGAAAGCCTCTCTGATTTCAAAGCTCCATTAATCCATTGATCAACCCGTTTTAAGCCCTACCAATTGTTGTTCATCTATGGAGTTCTTATTGGCTTTCGCCCAATTTTTCTGGCTTCTTTAAGATTCTAATCTTTCCCTCCTTCTTTAAGTCGCCGCCGGGAATGGCCGATAAGTCGCTGCCTGCAGAGGGGTTCTTAATTTTGCCGCTGCCGGTTAGGGTTTCACTGTGTTCTCCGAATCCGACATAGGTTTTTGTTTTTTGTTGGGATTTGTCGGATCAATCGGAGGCGATTTTGGAGCATTTTAGGGTTGTTGGTTTCGTAATATTTTGAGGGGTTTCGTCAATTTTGATGGCGAAGGGCGGGTTTTTTGTTGATAAGTTTCGGAGATGTTTAAGGACGTTGTTCTTTATGGTGGCGATGTTGGCGTCACTACTCGTGTCGTCGTTGCCAGTTCTTGTAGCCATTGGAGACATGTTGGTGCCCTGTATTTTGATCTCCAGCTTTACTTGTGTTAGATGCTACGGCTTCAAACAACATTTGCGTCGATACGCTTTCAAAAGTTCTTTGACTGATATCCCTTTCGTTTCGATGATCAGATCTCTCATTATTATCTGTATGATCCCGATTTCCATCACATCTATCATTTTCCCCTCGATTCACATACTGGGTCGTTGTGAAATTAGATAAATTACGGATAATTATGCGTTAATTTGATTATGATCGTCTGGGTGTCAATCGTTTTTCCTTGTTTTTGATTGTAGGTGTTTATTCAATGTGTGATGGACCTGCTCTTTCAAATGGTCCTTACCTTGGAACCGTGACTTTGTGTTCCTTCATATCCATTCTTGTTCTTTCTATCAAGGTTTGTGTCTTTACAGTGAACTCCCAAATGGAGGCTGAAGCTTCATCTTCACCTTCTAGGCAGAGGCTTCACTTAAAGAAATCATGGGGGATGCCAGTTTTGTTTCTATCTTCAGTAGCCTTTGCCCTCGGCCATACGGTTGTGGCATACAGAACAAGCTGCAGAGCACGTAGAAAGCTTCTATTGCATCGTGTTGACCCAGAAGCTGTAAGTTTTTAAGTCTTTAACTACACAAAGAACAGGCATGTTCGTTCCTTATGAACAATCCCATTTGACTTGGCAGGTCCTTTCTTGCAAAAATGTGTTCTCTGGCTACCAGAAGATCCCTCGATCTCCGACTCCTTCTGGATCAAAAACACCAAAAAGTGACAGTGAAATCAAGTGGAAAGTTTCAGGTAATGCCCGGGATGAGAGCGAACTGCCGGTTAGATTACTTGCTGATATGGATAGTTTGTTCATAATATGTCAAGGGCTTACTATTCATTATAAGATCAGCTTGCCCGGGTCACCACCGCGGTCGTTATCCTCCGCTGCATTTCTTGAACCCAATTATAGTTGCATCTCGCCAAAGAAGGCAATGGGGAGGCTAGTAGTTGATATGCATCCATTTACTGTCTTATCAAAAAACCAACACAACATCCATAGGAGCTATAGCAATCAGTTTCACGGTTCATCTCTGTATGATCCACTATTGGATGGTTCTTCCACAACTTCTCCTATTCTTTGTGATGAGATTCCTGTGATTAGTCTAGATGATGTTGTAGAAGAGGAATTGAGCAAATGTTGCTTAGATGGAAACTTAGAGAGTAATGGGCAATTCGGTATCGTCTTGGTGCACGGTTTCGGGGGTGGAGTTTTCTCGTGGAGACATGTGATGGGGGTGCTTGCAAGGCAGACTGGTTGCAGAGTTGCAGCTTATGATCGGCCTGGTTGGGGATTAACTTCGAGGCTCCGTGCAGAAGACTGGGAAGAAAGACAATTGCCTAATCCCTACAAGCTTGATAGTCAGGTAACCAAAATCATACATTCTTCTTTTTTTGTTGTAGAGCTGTTGCGTTAGTGCTGATTGATTTGGTTCTCTGAATGTTTCTTTCTGGTAGAGCTGTAGAGCTACTGCTTGTGATTGTGCTAATGTTTCTTTGTGTAACTTAAATCAAATTTTGTGTGATCATTAGAGGCCACAATATTAGTTTAAATTTTATTTTAGTTCATAAACTGTCATACTCCATTAAAAGACTTGGAAATAATTAGCAAGAACACAATTCATTTGGAAATGCAACAGATTTGACTACTACCAGATACTTGTGCGTATGAACATTTATTGACAAGAGGTAAATGAAGAAAAGATGGTGCTCGTGTCGGGGTTGCACGGAGTAGAGTCGTTTTGAAGAATATGTGCTATTGGTTTGAATGGAATGGTATTAAATGGTTTTTTCAGGTGGAGTTACTGCTTGCATTTTGCTCAGAAATGGGGTTTTCTTCAGTGGTGCTAGTGGGTCACGACGACGGAGGACTGCTTGCTCTTAAGTCTGCACAAAGGCTTCAAGAATCACCAATAAACTCATTCAATGTAAGATTTCCTTGGTGGGGTTTTGATCAAATGATGTAAATTAACTGTTTGGGGGGTTATTGCTTAGTTCTTCTTGGCTTTTGTGAATGGGAACTGTGATATTATGGGCAGGTTTCCATCAAAGGGGTGGTATTGCTGAGTGTGAGCTTATCAAGAGAAGTGGTTCCTGGGTTTGCAAGAATTTTGCTAAGAACATCACTAGGGAAGAAGCACCTGGTTCGGCCTCTGCTACGAACGGAAATAACTCAAGTCGTGAACCGACGTGCTTGGTACGATGCTACCAAGCTAACAACCGAGGTCTTAAATCTCTATAAGGTAACGTCATTTTATTAAGATCACTTGGATCTTCATTTTGTCTTAAAAGGTAAAATCTGCAAGTTAGTTTTAGAAACTGCTAACATGTGTACCGTTCTGAATGGAAGCAGAAGGCGTTATGTGTGGAAGGGTGGGATGAAGCACTGCATGAGATAGCAAGATTATCATACGAGACATTACTTTCTCCTCAAAACGTCGAAGCTTTGGTGAAGTCTGTTGAAGAGATGCCCGTGCTGGTGGTTGGTGGTGTCGAGGATGCTCTCGTCTCCCTCAACTCTTCCCGAGTTATGGCTTCCAAACTCCCTAATTCAGTATGTCTTCTTCACTCTCATCCCTCTGTACTCGTACGTTTTTGTTCTTGTTTTCGTTTCAATGAACGACGAGATTGTATCATAACACAGAGACTGATAACGATATCTGGATGCGGACATCTACCGCACGAGGAATGCCCAAGCGCCTTACTTGCTGCAATCTCACCCTTCATCACCAGAATTCTTTTGCAGAGACCTCACTCCAGCACCACTCAATAGAAATACAAATACTCACCATTCCTTTTAGAGAGAATAGACAGCACCCTTTTTCCCATTTTCTTCTTCTTCTTCTTCTTCTTCTTCTTCCCTCGTTGAAATACTCACCCACAAGAACATTGGCTAAAAGGCCACTTCTTTGGGTGACAGTTTTTGAGAGCCGTTTCCAAATTGTTCTATTTAGTAACAACCCTGTAATTCCCCTTACTGAACCAAGGTGTTATTTCCCACCTAGTGTTGTGGAGATAACCTTATATTTGTAAATCTTTTTCGTTAGATTTTCAAGAGTTCGTCAAGAAAGACACTTATTCAAACTGGCTTAGTTTCATTTCCTTTTCAGCAATGAATGAGAGATGTTTCAGATGAACAGAGTCAGAAATGAGACTAAAAATGAGAAAGATTTTGCATATTAACTTACAAAACAAGAAATATCTTCGTATCTCCTTGTGCCTACTAAATGGATAAAGCAATATCACATCACTAAAGTAGAATTGGTGATATTATGACACAGCTAAATTAGACCAGACAATGACATGACTGAGCATATGACAACCACTCAACTAAACTGTGATTAAGGATAAAAAACCCATACTTGACAACCTATTCAATTCAATTCATTCCTTGGAGGATTTGTTAATGAGTGATTTGTGGATGTGGGGGATCACTCCTCCACCAGCAATGGTTCCTTTAATGAGTGTGTCCAGTTCTTCATCTCCTCTGATTGCAAGCTGCAAATGCCTTGGTGTTATACGCTTTACCTTCAGATCCTTGCTCGCGTTCCCGGCCAGCTCTAACACTTCTGCAGTCAGGTACTCCAAGATCGCTGCTGTGTATACAGCTGCTGTAGCCCCGACACGACCGTTGGCGGCAACTCTTGTTTTAAGTTGCCGGTGAACCCTTCCCACTGGAAACTGTATCAACAACAATAACAATGAGAAAGTGTGAAAAAGTTCAAGAAAAACAAGGGAAAGAAATTGCTTCCACTGTCTAAGCCATTTATATTTCAAAGATAACAAACAAAAATGGAGAATAACATATGTATGCATAACTTCCATACTAGTCCAAAAGTTATAAATCAAAATGCTACGAAGTCAATCTTTCATAATCTGCAAATATTTTTTTGAAGTTTCAAAACGATCCCAAAGCATTTTTGAATGCTACTTTATCTTATAGAAAAGTTATACATCAAACTGCTATAAAGTCATCTAGAAATCACTTTAGGTAATTGTGCCTTATTATACCAAACAAGATGTGCAATAAAAACATAGGTGATATTCTAATCATCCCACAACAGAGAAAATTTTTGCAGTATACTAAAAGGAATATACGCAGAGCAGAAGAAACTATAAACCAACATTGAAAAGAAAGCATAAAAAGTGTACACAGAAAATGAGAAGCCTTAGTTCAGAAGATAACAGCAAAAAGGGCTAAAATGAAGCATCTACAAAAGCACCAGTTTCATCTTAAAATGTTTTCAAACGCCACATCTTCGTCTTTACCGGCCACACTTTATCCACCCAGTCCATCATAAGTTGCATATTGATCAAAATATAAAAGTAGTTCTAAGAAGAAAACAAAAGGAAAGCAAGGGAAAATGGGTGGCAGAACTCAATAAAAGCATAACAAGATAGATATAATATATATGTAATATGCAAAACTAGCTTCTTCTTCCTCAGTTAGAGGGTAATACTACCAGCAAAAGAGAGAGAGAGAGAGGAGCCTCAACAGGATTGAAGGAAAAGTAACTCATCTCGTTGATGTAGTAAGAAAAATACAGAAATCTGAAATTCCCTCACAAGGGGTTTATATAGAAGCACAATTAAAGTCAGCACATTACCGGTTTTCACTTTAACAATTGTTAAACAGACACCACATGGCAGGAAATGATGGTTTCCAGTGGCTTAAAAACAAAGAATTTGGGGGAAGAAAAGCTGTACATACTTGAGTGCGTTTTCAAGACCATTCAAAACACAATTAAGTATCAACTTATCAACAAAAATTATAAAAAAAAAAATACCAGACTTGCCAAATCTTCAAATTTTTACGTCTGGGTATGTTACAGGGAAGACCTATAGTTGATGAATAACTGGAAATCAATTCGAAATTCCATATCAACGGAATCTAACCCCAAAATCCTCAATACATGGAATGACTACAATCAATGTTTGCACCATGTACGGTCTGGGAAATTTACACTCATTCCATCATTTGATCCATTTGAACATTCAAAACTTTAGAATCTTCAATCAATGCCATTGGCATTCTAGGTTTGCAAGAACAGTTTTTTGTAGTTTGTTATGACTGAAGGGTTTCTTCGGTTAGGGGGTCAGTTTGGTTCACTTTTAACCATTATTTGACCCGAACCGAACCACTATGGTTCAGTTCAGTTCTTGATTTACCTGAACTGACTCATTATTTGAGTTAGGTTTCATTCATTTCTCATGCTATCTCTCTCTCTCTCCTTGATTCGCTTCTGTTCTTACACTCTTTCTAGTCTATAATCCAAGTCATGGATCTCTCCCAATCAACATGGCAACCATCATTTTCTTAAATCAAAATCTTCCAATCGTTGTTCTCACATCCAGGTACAAACGAAAACAACAGGATTTCTGCTTCGAAGGCAACCCAAGCATGGTTTTCTTCTTCAACGGCAACCCAGACTAGATTTTCTCAATCTGAAGCTTGCTTTTCCTATTTCACCTGGCCACACCTTTTTTTTCTCTCTCTTCCTTTCTTTCTATCACCTAACCCAGATCTATCTTTAGGTTCAACCCACTCATGATTTGAGTTACGATTTGGATAATGTTGTAGTTTTATGATGTTGAGGATGGTGGTTTAAACAAGGGAAGAGGAAGAGGGGAAATATGGAAAGGGAAGGAGGGGGAAATTGAAGATTGAGAAATTAAGATGGATTTTGTGGAAAAGAAGAAGATTGATTGATACAAACATTTGGTCAGGTTTGGGAAGAAAAAGGAATGGGTAAAGGAGATGGAGAAACCAAAATGGAAATGGACTGGGTGGGGAAAAAAACATGAGTGACTCGACCCGACCTACTTTTGTTCAAACATGAATTGAGATGGGTTTCTTCTCTAAATCGGAATGGGTCAGATCGGATTTCTACAAAAACTGACCTAAACCAATCCATTTCACCCCTAACGACGGATGACCAACAACTTCTAGTGCACCACTGTTGTTAACTCAATAGATTTATAGCCATATTTATCAATGATAATGCTACGCCACTATCAATTTTTATTCTATCAAATATCTTAACAACCTTTACAAATCAAAGCTGTGTTTTTCAAACTCAAAATTCCAATTTCAAGATCACCCGAGTCCAAAGGAGTAGGGGACAATTTTCGCCATCCACATATGGACCTTCCCAATAAAAGTTCATGATAATTTTTCAATCAATACCACGGTGGTAGAGAATTTATTAAAAAAATGTACTGTACAATAACAACTTCTTGGTTTATTGGTCGAAGGCACGGCAATCTGTGTTCCTGGGCAGGTCATGAGCTCAAGTTTTGGCTAATGTGAAATCTAAAAAAAGGTAATGTACAAGAATATTGGTTAAAACAGCTTGGATCCCTTTAGTCTCCTATTTCGAGAAATGCAAGTTTCTATTACCATAACTTTCTACAACTTCGTCAGTCAATGGGTTCCAGAGTTCCACAAATTCTGGCTATCCTCCCCAAGAGAAGCTAAACACAGGCAAAGAAAAAACTTAACATGAAAGATTTAGAGTATATTTCAGACAATGAAGACCAACAATTGCTGCCTAAGAAAAAGTAGCCCTATCCCCTAATCAAACAAAATTCTTGCAAAACATCGACCATACGCCGGAAACTTTTCCTCATTATCAAAGAAAAACATGTCTGTAATAATTCAACGGGGGCACTATTTAGACCTGTACCTTCCTCTCTTGATTGAGAGAGATTTTGTTTTGTAATGATAAACCCCACCACCAATACCATGACATAACTCTCCATACAATCCACCTTCCATCCTTATTTTGAATGAAAGAAAAGGATTAAACTAAAAAGGAGCTACTAAACACAGAACAAAACTACTTGAAAAGACTCTAGTTACTAAGAGTTAAAAAGAAAAAGATAAATGATAACAGGTGCTACTTGTATATGACCTAAAGAGAGGCACAACAGTGAGCCAAGACCCACATCACTCCCCAAGACCCTCTTACCCTGAAATTTCTTGTGTTCGGTATTCCTCAAGAGCAAGATTTTCCATAAGATGGTAAAAAACGCCACCTACCAGAAGAATCGCATGAAAGGGCAATAATGTGTAGCTCAAGTCAAACAAAAGAGAGTTTTTTTTTCCCTTTTAATTATAAAATCCACCTCCATATTAAACCAAGAAAACACATAACAATGCATAAAACAATGAGTAGAGTGGCATGGAGTGGATGTCCAATTGAGCACATGTGTAGAGTAGAGTTAAAAGGTTTGAGAACGACACATAAAAACCAAGAAAACACATAACAATGCATAAAACAATGAGTAGAGTGGCATGGAGTGGATGTCCAATTGAGCACATGTGGGGAAAAAGGGATGCAATAGAAGCAAGACAAGTAGTTGATGAAAATAAAAATGAGTCTAAAGGAAGCCTACGCCAATGACAAAAGGTGTGGTTGGAACTAGAAGTCTAAAGGAAGAGAGGTCCAACAAATGCTAAACGAAGTATCATTGAAGATGTAGCAAGGGCGTGAGCTTAGATGGGCCTTGGACTTGTGAAGTTTCGGACACAATGCCGAATTTCAAAGTAATTGCTGAGAATCATTCTCTACCAAAAGAAGAAAATAATACAAGTGCCATGGCCATGATGAGTTCTAGCGCTAGGTGTTATATATACTGAATTATGGACTGCACTTATTGTTACAAATTATTGGCAACAACCAACTGTGTTTCAAATATCTAGGAGAATTTACCCAGAAGCAGTGGCTTGAATTTTTCTACAAAAAGGAGTGGAGAAGGGAGAAAAACTTGTTGACACTTCAAGTTTGCTCTATATACAATTATTTAATTTTCTACAGGAGAACCTCTTGGTCAAATACACCTTGAGGATAAAGTGAAAGCATATTAGTCATTGACTACAGAGTCAGTCACTAAATGGTGATTAAGAATTTTCCTCAGTTTCTCAAATTACTTGGGATAATCAACTGTAATTCATATTTTCGAGTTCACAATAAAACTTTTAGTCCAATTTTCAAGTTTCTATAACTCTAACGCTAGGAAAAAGACTAAGAACAATGTAAACGAACAAGATATATAAAGGCCTACTGTGAACCCAAGCATTATGATCTTGAAAGTTCTAAACATAAGAATAGTCAAATCCCAATCCATCTATAATGATGTGAGATCCCCAATCCATCTATAATGATGTGAGATCCCACGTAGGTTGGAGAGGAGAACAAAGAATTCTTAATAAGGGTGTAGAAACCTCTCCCTGGCAGACGCGTTTTAAAAACCTTGAAGGAAAGCTCGAAAGGGAAAGCCCAAAGAAGATAGAGGACACTATCTACTAGCGGTGGGCTTGGGCCATTACAATTGACGAGATCTTGTATGCACACACCATATCATACTAGTGGTGGGCTTCAAACGTTACACTTTCTTTCCAGCCATTTCATCCCTCGACAAAAGAACATTGGCGGCAAGGCAACTTCTTCGAGCACAGAACAAGAATAGCAAACCGACACTAGCTAAAGGAACACAGACCCAGAAACATGCACCTACTTCTAACATCAAAGAGAAGGACTTAGAGGTACCCCTCCAGAGATTCTCAGACAGCCACCTCCTAAACGTCGATCTCACACGCTTACAGCTCCAATAAGCACAGCCCATGAAGAAAACGAACTCATCAAGTTATTCAATAAACAGGAAAACAAGACGCGCAGGTGGAAAAATAGGACCCATCTGAAATAAACAAATATAAACTTTCGAACACAAAAATTTTAAAGTTTTAGAAGAAAAAAACACCCAATGTCCAAATTCTAAGGCTTGGAAACCTTGAAACGCATCTAAGTAAGAAAATTTGTGGATTTCTAAAGTGAAAACCGGCATAAACCTCAAACGAACACAGATCCACAGAAGACACACAAAAGGAAGGTAGAAAAACAAGTGGTGAAGTGTATAGAAAGAGAGAGACCTGGAGACCAGCGCGGGAAGAGCGAGAAACGGGCTTCTTTTTATCCTTATCCTTGTTGTTGGAGGCAGATTTGCCCATTATCAGACCCTTGGCTCCCTTCCCCGACATTTTGAAGCCCAAGAATTAGGGTTCCTCTCACTTGCAGTGACGGATTTTTAGAGGAGAAAGAAAAAGAACCGATAAGGAACGACGGGAAGCGAGGTAGATAAAAGTAATGCCCCCAACCCCCCAACCCCCATTCTTCGATAACTCCACGAAGACTTGCAGATTCAGCTTCTCTCGGCCCACATTTACCGAAATACCCTTCCTTTTTCTTCTTCAAATATAAATATTAATTAAAAATATAAATATTATAAATGATTTATTTGTTATGAAGTAAATATTTTTTAATTTATTTGGTTCACACCATACAAATATTTGTTAGATTCAGGTCCACTTCTGCATATTATGCATTGTTCGTTAGGATAAGGTTATAATTAAATGTATTTTTAAATAATTAAAAAGTTCTAACACAATTTTCAAATAACTAAAAATAAATATTTTTAAATAATAATCTTAATTTACAAGATTGTTCATATGACTCGATAATCCGACCAATTTAGATTGTCTAACCCAAGTGATTAATGTTGCGTTGGTTAGATTTTTTTAAAACAAAAAATTCAGTTCGGTCTGCAACGTGACATTTTTTTTAAGTCAACTAACCCGAAGTTTGGGTTAGAATCCGACCTAATCATACTTTTAAAAAAATATTAAAAATATTTTGTTGGTAAAAATGTTGTAGTTTGATAACTGTTCACTCAAATATTAGTGATGTGTTGTAACTCGTAAATATTTGATATTTGAACTTTATGATATTTTAACTATTAATATAACATGCACTCTCGATTAGTAAGATTATTAAATAATTAAGAAAAAAATAACTGAAAAATAGAAGGTTAAATTGTGAAGTCTATTGGAGTTGTTTGAGTCACAGCTCATCGCGTTGGTCCAAAAGAATTTTTGGACCCACCAATATACATTTGTGTTAATTGATATGCTTGAATAGTAATATTCACCTTTAGTTTATAAATTTAAACTTGTTTTATTTTTAACTTTTCGAAAAAATCTCTCATTTATGGAAGGGCATTTTTATAGTGTCAGATCAGCCGCGACTCCCCCGATACGAAAATAATTATGCATCATTCTCATACCGGTGGCTGCTTCGAATAGATCATATACTAATTCTCTTTCTCTGAAAATATAGAAGAAGGGAGTCTGTGCGCCAATATCCGCCATAAAAGGGCCAAGCCATAACAGATGAGAAGCTA